ATTTCACATAAACTGGAAGTACTACATGTTAATATTTCACATAAACTGGAAGTACTACATGTTAATATTTCACACAAACTGGAAGTACTGCATCTTAATATTTCACATAAACTGGAAGTACTACATCTTAATATTTCACATAAACTGGAAGTACTACATCTTAATATTTCACATAAATCGGAAGTATTACATCTCAGTATTTCACATAAACTGCAAGTACTACATCTCAGTATTTCACATAAACTGCAAGTACTACATCTCAGTATTTCATATAAACTGTAAGTACTACATGTATTCTTACTTGTTTTACTTCTTTAGTAGCTTTTTATTGAAATACCTCCCTGTGGCTAAGCGATAAATCAATGGACTTGTAATGCTAAAAATTGAGTTTTGATACCCGTGGTGAGCAGAGCACAGATAGCCCATTGTGTAGCTTTGTGGTTCTAAATAAACAAATCTTATTGAAACTTTGTGAATTTGATTAATTAATATACTTTTTATGATACCTTGTGTTGATAAATTTAGAAGTTGTATTCATGTAAAAATTAGATAATTAATTATATATGTATCATGTAAATAAGCACTGTTAGTTCATACATAATTAAATGAAATTAAATAACTTATAAAGTATAGCTTGCTTGTTTTCAGCAATACAACAAATATTTTGAATTATTTTTTTTTTTCAGAATCATTTGGTCAGAATTTTCCAGAGGTAAGAAATTAACATTTCTTGAAAATATTTATAAACTTAAGGACCGTTGATTATGGTAAACTTTTTTTTATAAATACACCACATTATTATTTTTTTTTTTTTAGATTTGAACTTTTGTGTAATTCATGTTTTTTTTCTTGAGGTATTTTATTTTGATTAGTGATGTTTATACTTTCAAGTCATTCTTTAAGTCTGATTGTGTTTGTTTAACAAGGCTTATAGAGCAAATACACAATGAATATAATCATTTGACTTTGTGTTAGGTATAGCTTCCCATGTGATTGTTGGGGTTTCCAGTTTTGTTGTACATGCATGTTTCTGATCAGATCTGACTGAAAGAGCATCTCCTAGTAGTGTAGGGCAACACAATTAAGAATTATATAAGTTGACTAGTATTTAAGGGTAGTGATTCTAGCTTATTTTGGTAAATCAGTGAGTTTCATTTGCAAGGTAAAGTTAAATAATTCTGATAAAATAGGTGCAAACTGAATTATACAACAGTGGCTTCATGGGTTGAGAAAAATTAATAAGTGAAAAGTTAAGTCAGGCAGAATTAAAAGATATGGACATTTCAGTTTTTTAAATTGTTTCTTTAGAGATATTTAAGAATTTATTGTACACCTGTAATGATTCATTGATGTATCACAATACTTTGGTTTTGAGTTGCATATTGATACAGGAAACCTGAATTGGGTGAATCGTGGTATTGCTCCAAAATAGTCTGGCCCTTTTTTTTTGGCTCAAACTAAAACTGAATAATTCAGTCATTATATTCTGACTCTCCTCTCTTTCCAAAGAAGCCTACCAATCTTTAAGAAGTGAAATGTGGCATTTCTGGTCAATTTCTGTTTTTCTTTTGAAAGGCAGTTGTGTCACAAAGTATCATGTTATGACTCTAAGATCACAGTATGTATATCTTTTCATCATACGTCCGTCAGTGCACAGCTTTACTGTATTAACAACATGATTGTGTGATGATGAGAGACAAAAAGTATTTGAATGTATTACTAATTTATAGTTCCATCAAACACAAAATAATAAACAAAAACACCAGTTTATCTTCATCACAAAGCCTACTTACATCTGATGGCAACATATAGGACAAAAGTCTTTACAATTTATACTGTTATTAAGTTAATGTATTTGTGTTATTAAGAGAATGCAGTCAGGATTTTTGTAAACAATATTTATTTTTCCACAAAAGATTGTCATAAAGTTGAAAAAAAAGCTTGTTAAATAGAAACTTTTACACTGATTTTCAGGAGTTTGATGGAGCCTTAGACTGTATCAGTTTGGCTGTTACCTGTGCCTTCAACAAACGGGGGACTCTACTGGCTGTTGGTTGCAATGATGGCCGTGTTGTTATTTGGGATTTTCTAACAAGAGGAATAGCCAAAATAGTTAGTGCTCATGTCCATCCAGTTTGTTCTCTGAGGTCAGTACAAGTAAAGGTCATATAAGATAGTACTATATTTCCAAGAAGAACCAATAGTGAAACTACAATGTATATACTTAGATACCAAATTCTGATAAAAATAACATCTTGTTTGTTTACAACATGTACACGAAACATATAATTTTTCCATAGTTAGATATGAACAGTACATAAATAATTATTAAATAAAATATCTAGTTATATTAACTTGTGATTATAAGTAACTTTACCAGTGAATAAAGTTTACCTCTTTCAATAAAATCAAACTCTAAAGTAGAGTTTAGTATTTACAAATTAGTACTAAGACTGTAATGTTACATTAAACTTATTGCTACTAGTGAACAAAGAATTGCTAACTTTAAAAACTCTTTTAGTGCTACTTCATGTATCATTTGCATTATTATACACATTGATCTTGGTTACAGAATTATGAAGGAGTGAATTTAAATATGTGTAGTACTGCTTTAAATGTAAAACGTACTGTATATGATAAAGTAGCCAATGCATCTAAAACAGAACAGACTTATTTCCAAATTTGCAAACTGCCCAGTTGATTTGTGTGCCAAGTGTATAACTATATAAAATACCAGTTAAACCTGTGTTTACAACCACTAGACCATAATGATCAATTATTTATGGTCCAGATCACTATCCATTGCTAACAAAAAAGTTTTATATACTATCCACCTGTTCAATGTGACCAGCAAGTACTGTATTTTAGCCTTAATAATGAATGTTATCTTGTATATTGTCTATCAAATACATATTGCAGGCCTACTGACACCGTGTCAGACCCCAAATTCAGTTGAGCACATACAGAGTAAAGACAAATCAAAACACTAGTCTACAGTGTATGTTTGATTAAAAGAATACACCAAAATAGTGTAAAACAATGTAGGTGAAGAAAGCTCATGAAGCTATTCTCGTATGATTGTACATTTTCAACAATTTCTGCAAGTGTAGTCTGTATGAACAACAAAAATTCATACAAGGTAGTGTTCCAGTACTTGAATCTTCTTGTCTCTTGCTATGTGTACTGAAAAAAATTATTTAAGATTATTTGTTTAATCTGAATGAAATCTAGGCTATTTAGATGTGTAATGTGCAGCTGTTGTTACCAGTTGTAATTACAAGGTTATTTAGATGTGTAATGTGCAGCTGTTGTTACCAGTTGTAGTTACAAGGTTATTTATAACAACAGCTGCACATTACACATCCCAGTTGTAATTACAAGGTTATTTAGATGTGTAATGTGCAGCTGTTGTTACCAGTTGTAATTACAAGGTTATTTAGATGTGTAATGTGCAGCTGTTGTTACCAGTTGTAATTACAGATTGATGATTCTACACTGTGATGTGCATTTGCTATCCATAAATATTACAGCAATCATGAGCAAGTCAAATGTTAAAGTTTAATTATTGAACCTTCATGAGTTTTATCTATAGGTAACATAAATTGTGTATATTTTTTAAAAAACTTGTATAACTTGCATAAATATATACATAAAGAGGGTTTATAATGACTCATTATATTTGAATCCTTACAGACCTGACAAAGTTTACCTGCACATGAGTACTTGTTTCACATTAGACATTCTGATAATCTCAAAATTTGTCATGTTCGAAAAAGTCACAGAAATTGTTTGAATAGTATTTTTTAGTAATTTCAAGTGTATAATATTTATTTCTATAAAGGATTGACAAGATAATTGACTAAATTTCCGTATCAAAGTTATTGTTCAAGTAATATACTGCTGAAATACATAGAACCAATGGAATTGTTTGATGCCCATTTTTTAAATAAAATTATTAATTCTCTAGTGTAATTTTGAGCAGTAGGTGCACTTCTCCAGTTGCCACAGAGTTAAATTCTTGAAATTCTCTCTTCACAGACTGTACTATTTTGTGCTACCTCATGTTCACACAAGTTTCTTGATCTTTGGCCCTTGTATTTCAACCCCTCCCTAGTCCAGCTTGTGTTGTTTAGATATTTAACATGTCATAAATGAATGAATGTATGAATATGTTTTTTAATTGAAAATTAATTAGAACACTCAAGACTGTGGATTTGGCATTGCGGTAAATGATTAGGAAATTCTCGCATTTGGTTTTACTTTTTCAGTAGTAGGTTCTATTTTGCTATTTTTTGAAGAAGTAAAATACTGTGAAAACTCAAAATATTCAAATAGAATCATAATCTGTATGAAATTCTCTTACAGGTTTAACCAAAAATCTCTGTCAAAAGATAACATCCAAGTAGTATATATATCTCATTGAAATACATAGAAAAGTATTACATTTTTGGCACCAATATCAACTCCACAGAGTCAACAAAAACAAAATGGTGGACATGCTCATTTTGTAATGAAAGAGTATCGTTCTTTACGAAAAATATTTTTGCGTATCCAAATAAGATTATTATAAAAAATCATTTTATCTTGTTTGAATGCTTTTGATTTTTTCAGGCATATTGTGTATTTTTTTTATATGGTTAAATATTAATTAAATTTTGAAGTATTTGTTCAACAGCTGGAATCGTAGTGGACACAAGCTATTAAGTGCTTCAACAGACAACACCGTCTGTATATGGGATATCATGACTGGAGAGTCAGAATACAGATATCGCTTTCCATCCCCTATATTGAAAGTCCAGTTTAATCCACGGAGTGAGTAAGTAAATACGTTGATTTTTGACTTTAATGATCAAAATTGAAAAGTTAAGAGAAATCTCATTTGTATGCTTTAAAAATTTCAAAAGGTGAGAAGGCTTATATTTTAAGACCCCCGTTCATAAAAAACCAACCCAAATTTAGGAAAAAAGTCAGAGCCAAAAATCAGATTGGAAGCACCAGACTACGTAACTGTAATCCAATAATAGAATCCAAAAAAGCTTCTTCTTCTGATTGAAAAAATATACTAATAAATGAAATCTGTAAAATGCCTTGCCAGAAACATAAACATAGAAAGAAAGGAAGACTTCTTCACCTGTGGCATTTGTAGATGCTGCTTACCTTTGGATTCATGCTCGAATAAAGCAAATCATATAAATTGGAAGTGAAGAAATGATGCTGAAAGTGGAAAAAGAATAGTAATGAGAAGGACAAGTATCCTGAGAGGTCAAATTGAATTAGATTAGAAGAAAGCAAGGTGTATGATATTGATTCTGGAGAACATAGAAATGCTGAAGCCTCTAAAACCATTACTGCTATATTCATTGACTTGGGTATTACCAATCACACAGCTTTGGATATAGGTGGATATAAAGCTAATGCATTTCAAAGTGTCAGACAGAGGGCTGTTCATATATGCACAAATAACTGATAAGTTATTCCAACTTTTGTATCCGACTGATCCGTTTGAATTGAAGACATATTTTATTGACAGACTACAGTCTAATGAGAAATATATAACAGAACCCTTTTCCAAAAGCTTGTGCAAGCTATCATTTGTTGGATGCAGAAACATTTCCGTGGTTGTTCAAAGCATTTTTGGGAAATTCACTTGAACGACGTACATGCAAAAGGATGCTTGCCGATTAATTCAGTAGCATACCAGACCAACAAAAACAGCTTATACCCATTCAAAAGCACTCAATGGGAAAAGTGAAATTTTCATCCTTGAGAAAGACATTTGCTACTCTGAAGTGTGGAACAGATCTGCTAAAACACAATTATACTTTCCATGTGAACAGCCAGAGGATTGTAACAGCAATTACGTTCATTCAACAAAACCTTGAGGTAAAGCCTGGTCAAACAAGGAATGTAAGGATTGACAGCCATGTATTTTCAGATATGCCGGTTTATGAACATGGTGGATGGAGTATCGATAACCTTCACAAAGCGTATAAAAACTCCTTTGATAGCCATGAACAAGTTGGGGTGCATACATTTCACAATATTGTTAAGCTGGTTTGTCAACCTACTATATTCGATTAAGATATGTCAGTTCAGTATTTGAGTTCATGATGGCAAGATTAAGCAACATGAAGTATCCTGAAGGGATCGCTGCAAATGATAATCAAGCAAGTGTCGAGAAAATCTTACCAATATGGAAAGAAATAATGTTATTTCTGACATATGAGTACACACAAGCATTTGAGTTTATCGTCTATGACTAGACCCATTGCTGTACATTTGCACAAGGTGGATGATGTGATCATGTTTACAACCACAGCTATTGTGTTAAGTGTAGCAAATGCGTAAATGTTTCTGACACTTCGGTTAGGCCAATCTTGGTGCAGGCTGCCTCATTACTAGTGGATGATCTTGATACAACAAAGGAAGTAGAATCCATGTTAGCATCCATCCCGATTCTACAAAATACGACATTATGGTACATGGCCCATAGGCTTAGAGCAAAAGTTCAATTTGATGCGATCAACAAAGTTAAAGAAGAAATGAAGATTTATTCATCAATGATGCTTATTGTGCTTGACCATAAGCAGAAGGTGTTACTCATGAAGTAAAGGGAAGGTCAAGTGGAGTACTTTGGTATAAAGGGTATGTCATTGCTTGGTTCAATGAGGGTCAGATGGATGTGTAACAATGCAGGTGTTCCTGGATTTCAGTACAAATTTGTTGATTATGTGGTGGAAGGATACACAGGACAAGAAAACATACAAGTTGCAGCTGTACTGAAAGAGATGCTACAGGATGTTTGAACAAATTGTCTTGATATTGGTAGAGTAATTCTTCAAAGTGACAATGCTATGTGCTTTGCCTCACAGGACCTGATCCCATATACATACCATCTCAATGTTGGAATGCAGTCTTCCATTGATGGGCACATTCTCCATGTCGAGAAGTGGATTTATTCGGAGGCTTAAACTGGTAGAGGGAGATGGATACCTACTTTTCATATCTGAATTTGGCATTCAACTCATTTGTGGAAAACGGAAATGATATAACTATGAAATGGACATATACAAGGCCTTAACATTTAAAGATGGGATTGCAGGCACTACTGGAAAAGTACTTGATGTCAATCTGTTGAATGGTCCAATGTTAGTGAAAAAGTTCAAAGAAAAAACTGGAAATCGAAGTACACATGAGGTTCAATGGGAGGTTAATGCTGCTAAAATCATTTGCTCGTCCAATACGTCCAAGGCAGAAGTTGTAGCATCCAAGCTTAATGCGTGTGGAGCAAAGAACTGAATATTGAAGCGAGGTTGTCATTTACATCCCCCAAGGTACCATTATTTACACCTAATTGACGTACAAATTCTGAGTTGAATGAACAAGATCAAGTTGGGATTACTGCTGAATCACTAGCTATTAGCCAAGCTCTGTCTTTGGACCACTGTAATCTTCCTGAAGTGGATATAAGCAGTGTAGGAGGTGAAACTACTACACTTTGTCCAGAAGCATTGTCAGAAAGGTAGGCATGCTATCCAAGGAATACAAAAGATGAAATGACCAGGGAGTGTGTGGAAAAGTTAATTGAGTTATATGACACGGGAAAAAGAAACAAAAGTTGGAAAATGTCCGCCAATAAAGCTCATCAGATTCTGATGAATTCAGTCCTTCTAGGAAATTGGCAAGATAGATTTCGTGTCATCGTTTCCAAGATAAAGGCATTCTTTTCTTTAACTCCAGCTAAAATGAGGGTATTGATTGACAGTGATAGTACAATTCTCCAAGACATAGTGGATGAAGCTGAACGTTCATATTTGCAGGAAGAAATTGCTGTATCTTCTGCCTCACTTATTGACTTGGATATCCAAACAGATTAACTTAGTCCTCGTGAACAGCAAAATTTACATACAGCTGTATCTTTTTTCATACTTCACGGATTTCAAATCAGAAAAACAATTCTGATTAGTAGTGTCAACTAGTTTATTTCTACCAATCAGCACCTTCTGGGACATAATATTTAAAAATTTGGTGCGCCGTTTGGAGGGGTCGGTTTTTCGTGACCAGGGATTTTAAAATATAAGTTTGATAATTTTAAAAGGGCACTGGCATTTTTTTTAAAATGTAAATTTAAAATTTGAATAAGTTTTCTAGTAAATATCACAAAGAACAACTGTATTAAACACACTTATTCTTACCAGATCTTGTAGGCATTATTAAATATTTGAAGAGTATTATTATTATTCAAGAACATTTTTATACATATTGTTTACAGTTTTTCTTTTAGGATGACACTTAAAGTAAGACATAAAATTAAAAAAAATTATCTGCTTATGATATTTTTATATAGTTTTAATATGTATGAATTTATAGGTAAATTTGAAAAATACTTTTTATATCACTAACAAAATTGACTTCAGTATATGAAACTCATTATGTTTGCTTTTATTTGTGTTATCTTATCTATGTACATTCATGTAGAAAGTGTTTTAATTTTTAATAGTATTTGTAGTGTCCCCTGCTGGCTCAGAGGTAAGTCTGAGGGCTTATTATGCTAAAATTGTGTATAAATACTCATGGTGGGCAGATCGGAGATAACTCAAAGTATAGCTTTGTGTTTAATAACAAATAAACAAGTATTCTGATATCTACATAACTAGAAACCTTGCATTGTAATAGTATGTGTTGGTATATTTTATAATTGTTTTGTCAGAAGTTGTTTTCCTCATGCTCATTAGAAATGATCATGCTTTTTTTTATATTAAATTAGTATGGTTAGCTCCATGTTGTAAATTATTTCTTATCTGATTGTTTTGAACAGATGGTTTTTACGTTTTCAATAATAATGGTATATTGTTGCTATTTAAAATTGCTTTCTAGGAACATGTTTCTGGTTTGTCCAATGAAACATGCTGCTGTTCTGGTCAGTGTTGAGGGAAGTCATTCAGTTGTACCTTTGGATGATGAGGTAAACAGCTGCTCTGTTCTGAGTTTCAATAGTTTGAAAAGTTATGAAATTCATATTTTTGTCTCTTTTTAATTTACTTTTTAAAACAGTCTGCTTAAATGCAATAATTCAGCAAAGCATGAACCATTTGAAGCTGAAAGTGTGACTGTCTAGTTACATTTCATTATTTTCTATTCTTAGTTAATCCAATTACTAAGTTATAAATAATGTGTAATATAAACTTATGAAATTAGGTCAACAACTGGCTAACTTATTGAAATAATTAATGCTAAGTTTTCTGAAAAATGTTTTTAACTTCTCATTACTATATGTTATAATACAAATAGTAAAAATGTGTTTACATGTATTCAAGATTTCTAAGTTTTCAGAAGTTAAGATGCTACATATGGTTATTATTGTAGAAAGAGTGTCTTTAATTCAGGAACATGGAGTTTTAAAGATGATTTAGTTTAAGAGTTATGTACATCTGTGTGTATGTGTAACAACTTGTATTTAAATTTCACACAATTTTGTTAAATATGGCCACTGTGAAAAGAAAGAAACCAGCAAGTACTAACTATCTAAGTATAATAATTTTCAAATACATACACACACACACACACATATATATATATATATATATAAATAGTCTCTACTTTGAGCTTAAAAGAATCATATAACTTGATTAAGTTTCTTATAATTTTTTATGTCCCAAATTTTTGTTGTGAGACAGTGTATTGAAAAAAACATTAAAAACACTTCCTTTCTTAGAACTTATAATTGTTTTTGTTGATCAGAATGTTTCATTTTATGTATTCAGTCAATTTCAACTTAATTGATTTTTGTTAGCATACTTCTTTTGATATTTTGTTTCAATTATTGCAGTAGTCACCACTTCCAGCTATAAATAAATAAAAGGCATCAAATCACACTAGATAACACTAGTTACAATAATCTTGGCCGAAATCAATTTGTCTAACAAATATAGTTTATTTTCAATAAATAATGTTTTGTTATTTATGTGTATTGTTTGAATGTGATAAGCTTGATAATAATTTTAATATAATGTCTTGTCATAGAAGATTTATATAGCTTTCAAACAAATGTAATTTAAGATGAAAACATTTTCAGGAATGAATAAAATATTTAAAGAAACTATAAAGAATTTCCAGGTCTGTGATTTATTCCTAAGTCTTCCAGAATTCCCATTAGATTTAAATGCTCTTTTCAGTAGGAGCTATGACTTTTCACTTTCACATGAATTCATAAATTACTTTTCACCACTTTGTTCACTTTACATTGATATAATTTGCTCTAATATTATATAAAATGTTACCAAATTAAAACAATATGATTTATAAAATATTTTTGCATTCAGAATTTTGAAATCTGTTATGCAGGTGTGCACTCCGCATCTAAATGGCGTATGTTGGTCTTGAAAGGGTTAATGCTGGAGTCAAAGCACAATAAATTTAACATTGATATACAATGTACATGTACTTAAGATATTACTGTCAGATAAACCCAAACTTTTAACTATTTGTTTTTACTAACATTTATTAAAAAGTATTTTTTTAATTTTTATTTTTACATGTGTTTTATTTTTAAAAAAATTGATTTTTCATAATTTTGGTATATTTTTTGTTAAATGCTGTTATTGAACTTTATAAAATTGTTTTTTATTTCCTTTTGTAGATTTTTAATAAAGTAATATCTATGTATGTTTTTGCAGTCTGATGTCAATATAGTTGCTGCTTTTGATAGACGTGGAAAGTATGTTTACACTGGAAATGCCAAGGGAAAGGTATTTATCCCTGCTATTTGGCCTCAGAATTTTAATTTAGCTGATAATTTAGATGCAAGTTCCCAACGTTTCTGAATTCCATTATTATTTATCAAATTATGTTGTTTAATAAATTCACATATTTATAGTATGGTAAGGAGTATATGTACAGGTTTTTATGGGTTTGTTTTTTGGTCAGTCAGTCAGTTGTTCCTTTGATATCGCAGGTAAAAGATGTAGGAAAAATTCATAAAATGTTTGTGTAGTGAATTGTTTTATGAGAGAAGTGGTTTTACTGATTTTCAAGTGTTTCATTATTGTTCCAACATGTATTCTTTTAGTACATGTAAATTGTAACATCCATAACTTGCAGAAAAATCTTTATTAATGTTATCAAAAAATAGAATTCTTTCATATACTGCTAGAATGCTTTATGTAAAATGTTTTTGTGTTTTTGTACAGTCAGCTGCAACATTCTGTAAATTTTTATTGCACATTTTTATTGAGTAATTAGAGTACTTTTAGACACACTGAAATTTGAGGCTGAGCTGATCATAAAAAAAAAATGAGTAGGCTCCATTCATTGTTGGCATTTCTGTTGATTCATGTGTATTATTTTCTTTGATTTTTAGTTGTGTCTAAAACCTGCTATTGATTTCACATAGATCCTTGTTTTATCGGTTGACAACTTGGAATTGGCTGCATCATTTCGAGTTACAACAGGTACTTCCAACACAACGGCTATCAAATCCATTGAATTTGCCAGGCGTGGGGAGTAAGTAAATACATGTTTAGATAATGTTTATTGCTATTTTTTTAACTATACGTACTGCATATTTTAATCTTGCTTAAAGACTGTATTTGGTTTGAATATTTTTACTAGTAGTTAGAAGTAAAAAACATTTCAAATTTTTTTTTACGATGAAATGTTAACAGAAAACTGCAGTTGTGAAGCATTTAATCAACATCATCTCTTACTTATCAGATGGTAACTGAAAAGTGATATTGTATGAAATCACATAAGCAGCTATTGTTAAACGTATTGGAACAACATACTCCCAGTCAGTGATGTTTCTATCACCACTGAATTTACTTGTAAATCTTACAGGGCACAGTAGCTTAAGATCTAGGAACATTAACAGCTTCCAAGAACAATCAGTTTGAGTGAAGATGCCCCATGAAAACGACCGTCAAATACGTAACGATTGTTAGATGTGGTATGAAAGTTTCAGACATTGTGTATTATGGTCAGAAAGAAATAATACTCAGCTTTGTAACCATATCAGTGAAAAAACACTACTTTCACCACAGTTTAATTTCTTAAACAGTGTAAAAAATAATATATTCTGAGAATCTGCTGGAATTAAATTTGATTCATAAATTAACCATTTTTGCAAGATACGTGTATATATTAATTAAAAATGATTTTAGGTGTTTCGTCAGTTACAATTGGGCTTAGATGTGTGCCATATAAATGATCTATTTCAACTTTATTTTTGTTTCCGTTATTTTGTTTGGAAAGAGGAAATTCTGTTGCACTCAAGTTTTAAATAATGTAAAGATCCTTGAAATAAAGATTGTACAGAAGGATAAGTGGATGTGACATAAATGCATATTTTACCAGTTGACAGTCAACAGTGAAGAGTTCATTTTTGTGATAAATTTTTATCATTAAAATAGTTTGTAGTACGATAATGGTTTACATTTTTAGTTGACTTAAAACCAATGTGGTATCTAGTGTTTTAAGAATTTTCTCATTCTTTTCTTTAAAATAATCTTAATGTGTGATTTGGATAAGCAACACTACTTATCTGGGCATTTTATAAGCTCTTAATCTAAACATACCATAAAGATTATACATTATGGTCAAGCTTTTAGACTGTAATGTAGGTTGATAAAATTATTAAGTACCAGTAGAGACCCGCAAAACATTTCCGGCCAAATTAGTATCTTTATCGTAACAGTACTTCTTTAAATATAACATTTCTAGCACAATACAAACGAATTGTAATTGTAGACAACGAAATGTGTAAATCCACTTGTATATAGGCTGTACTTTATAAAACTTTAACTTTTGTTAGGCCTAAGTTCGATAAAAAGATAAATTGGCACTGTAACCTGTGTACGTTTTTTTACTTTAGTTTAGTTTGGACTAAAGTTTACTGTACTTAATAC